GGAACATTTTCAAAATTGCAAAAATAAAAAATACTTATTTTATCCGAGTTTTTTACTTATATCTGGGAACCTATGCATTTTGGAAGAATGTTGAACAGGAAAAAAAAGTTTTAGAATTGAATTTTGCATAATATACTGTTAGTTAAAAATGTTTAAATTTATTACCGATGTTTGAATTGTCAGTGCTGCGAGAAACAAGTACTCCGAGAGCTATTTGCCGCTACCGGCATTGAATTATACTCGCAACACCTAGTGCAACAGCTCTCGGAGTAGTTGTTTCTCGCAGCACTGACAATTCAAACATTGTGTTACGCCCTCTGTGGGTGGCAGTCGTGCAACAAAGTACATGCAGATAGCAGGTCGCTTCCTACTGTAGCCATTTGAATGGCACAGTTGGGAGTCCGCACGACAGATGGAGCCATTTGCGCTCCCGCGTACAATGTTATTACCGATGTTGCAAAATAGCAATAATGCCAATAATTGATGAAAAAATGGCAAAATAATCAAGTTGTTTGGATAATTTTTTAAAAATATTTTAATTACTCCGTGGGCTTTCTAATTTTGGTAAAAAAACTTTAGAGTATAATAAAACAGCACACCAAATTTCATTCAAATCGGTTGGATAGTTTCCGATAATTTTTTGAAAAAACTGAAAAATTTTTTCGAATTTTTCAAAATGTTGCACAGTCTCAAATAAAGTATCTACATACTTGAAAATTTATCACATAGCCGTTCTAATAAACAGATTTCAATTTTTCAAAAACCATTTGAAAGGTTGAGCAGTCTTTTCAATGTGAAAACATTTTCAAGGATCTATATGCTTTATTTGAGGCTGTGCAACATTTTGAAAATTCGAAATTTTTTAATTTTTTTCAAAAAATTATTTTGCTAAATCTATCGAACCGATTTTAATGAAATTGGGTGTTGTTTTATTATACCTACTATAAAGTTTATTTTATCAAAATTAAAATGCCCTCGGAGCTATTAAAATATTTTTAAAAAATTATCCAAAAAACTTTATTATTTTGCTTTTTTTCCATCAATTTTCTATTTTGCAACATCGGTAATAATTAAACATTTTTAACTTACAGTATATTGTGCAAAATTCAATTCTAAAAAACTTATTTTCGTCTTCAATATTCTTCCAAAATGCATAGGTTCCAAGATAAACTCAGATAAAATAGGTATTTTTGCAATTTTCAAAATGTTCCGGACCTCGCCCAGATCTACGGATTTGCATTTTTATTATGTGAGTTGTACTGAAGGTAATCCAGAAAAAATTGCTTGCCCCCTCTCACATCCACCTCAAAACAGATCCCCCCTGGTCTACAGCTGCATACGAAATTATATTATCATTACATAACACCTTGATAGATATATCACAACTGGTTAACAAACATCAAACTTTTGCAAAAACATAGGTACTAGCTTACTTATGTAAACGTGATTGTTTAAAAAAATAGTAATTCTAATTCGTCTAATCTAAAATTTGTTGTTTTCTATTAAAAAGTCATGCAAAATTTTACATTTGATTTTTTCATTTCCATTTTTTTTGCAAAAAAAAAACTATTATTTAAACATACTACATATCAATCGCATTTTAAAGTTTTTGGAAATTAGGGCTAATAAATAAAACTAGAGACGTCTGTTCAGCTCAGCGTTTATTGAAGAAGTCCTTTTTAGATGGGCTTATGATACATATTTCTATAGTTATCAATATACCTCTTTGAGAAAAGCATGGACCAAGCTTGGTCTTAATAAATAAACAGAAAGATAAAGTAAACACACTTAGATCGGTTCTACGAGTTCTTGATTTTTGTTACTGTATATTTCTCATAATATTCAACAAAAGTATATTGTGAAAATTTAATATCCACTCTGTATTCCGTAGACTGCTTTTTGTGCTAGAGCATGAAAGTATTGTAATTTAAATTAATTGTCGATTGAGTCTTCTGGTTAAAATAATAATTGGTATAATTCTAAATTCTGTTTCCCTACTTCTATTACAAATTTTTTTACATTTTTTTATACACTTTTTCTATTACGTTTTGGACAGACGGTACTGCAATTTTTATCAGGTAAGTGATCTTTCCTCTTTTATCCTTAATAGACCGGGGGATATTAGACTGAAGTTCGACGACGTCTTTCTCGTTTATGCCTCTGAGAGTACTGAAAGGTAACCGAGAGACAAGTACAATAAACTAAATTTAAAAGATGGGCTGCGGGACACCTTCGTGAAAATTCAATTTTCCTTTTCAAAAAAATAATGTGTACAGCGACGTATTTCTCACTTATGCCATGTTCGTAAGTTGAAGAGAAGTATCGATTTTATCACGAAATTTTTTTGGCATAAGTGTCGCAAGAGACCTAAATATGGAAAACTTTGTAAGAAAATGTGGAAAAACATCTTTATTTGTCTACCAATTTCTCATTAATGCCAATTAGAAATATGACATTATTATATTCGAAAAGCTCATAAAAAACATTGGCATAAGTCCTACTAAGGACTAAAGAAAATAGGGCTTTGGAAAAGCTGCGGAAAATTTTTCGTTTTGGTCAACGTTTTTCTCGTGAATAAATTAAAGCTTATTGCAAAGAAAAAAATGAAAGTATTCATTTTTTTTAAAGGGCATAAGTCCCTGGTGAGGACTATATGCTAAAAATTTTTTGAAAAGTTGTAGGAAAATTCATGAAAATTTTTACGTCTTTCTCGCTTATGCCATTTTGCATGCACGTAGGAAACTACATTATAAAGTCATATAAATGTAGGCATAAGTCCACATTGGATTTTCATGTTGTAAATTAATTTGAATTTTAATACGAGTCAGGTCGACAAAGTAGAAAAATAATAGAAAATTGCCACAATTTTCTCGTTTATGCCGTTTCGTACACGAGTAGAAAATATTACTAAAAGCCATTTTCAAGAGTGGCATGAATGCCACAAGGTACCGTCGTATGTAAAAATTTTTAAAAAGTTTATTTCATCGCCTACGCAATTTTCGAAATACTTATACTTACTTGCATTTAGCGTATTTTTAATTTTTATAAATATAAGTAATTCATGTATTTAATGAAAGTTAATAATAAACTATTTCGGCTTAAGTCCCCACATATTAGAAATGATTTTTAATTATTCTTTGAGTCATGATCAGAAAAAGAAAAATTATATAATATTGCCACAAATTTCTCGTTTGTTCGTAAATGAGTAGAGTATTTTATCACAATAGACCATACGTATTTATGAACAATATATTTAAATTTTAAAAATTAAAAATATTATATAATTTGAATTAACCGCTTCAGTGCAAGGATGATCTACTTGAATTGAGCCGACTAAGGTAGAAGAAGAAGAAGAAGAAGAAGAAATAATTAAGCTAGAATACATAGGGAAGAAACTGATTTATAACTGATTTAATATCATGTATATTGAATTTTGTTTTTTGTTTCTGGTACTTTGTACCTTAATTACTTAATTTGTACTTTTATACATTTTATTTTTATATTAAAAGATTTATTTAAGTAATAGTAATTGAATTGAAAAACCGCTGCCAACTCAATTGTCAGAATGCTTCCTCAAAGACTTTGAATTACTAATTTTTAATTATAACTAACACAAACAATAACACTTAAAATAATACAAATTTTTATTAACTTAAAATTAAAGCATATCAAAAATAAAAAGTTTTTTCGGTTTTATGATTTTTTACATTTTCAAATTTCAAACAGTTTTATCTGCAGCTCTTGATGAAAACGGATCAAAATAAAGGCCTTACTACCAGCTTTATTATAAGTTATTAAGAATTATCGTAATAAAAAATAACATGTCGAAAAATCAAACTAAACCCAATATAAAGCTTTCTCTTTTTCATGAAATTTTTTTTATTTTAAATTTTTTATTCCCTTTTATAGTTAGAAATATTCATTTTTTATATAGATATCTTCTCCGACACTTGCATTATTTATCATACATTTTTTAAATTAATTTAAGTATATCGAAAATTGCGCAGGCGAGGAAATAACCGCAATTTGTAATTTTTGACAACTTTTTAAAAAATTTTACATACGACGGTACCTTGTGGCATTCATGCCACTCTTGAAAGTGGCTTTTAATAATATTTTCTACTCGTGTACAAAACGGCATAAACGAGAAAATTGTGGCAATTTTCTATAATTTTTCTACTTTGTCGACCTGACTCATATTAAAATTCAAATTAATTTACAACATGAAAATCCAATGTGGACTTATGCCTACATTTATATGACTTTATAATGTAGTTTCCTACGTGCATGCAAAATGGCATAAGCGAGAAAGACGTAAAAATTTTCATGAATTTTCCTACAACTTTGAGACTTATGCCTTCATATTGAACCCATAGAGGAGTGATGCCTACTTGACACAGTACATTATTTATAGTAAGTATCATAAATTTTCAACGGCATAAATGAGAAAGTTATAGAATGAAAATAAAAATTTTCCGCAGCTTTTCCAAAGCTCTATTTTCTTTAGTCCTTAGTAGGACTTATGCCAATGTTTTTTATGAGCTTTTCGAATATAATAATGTCATATTTCTAATTGGCATTAATGAGAAATTGGTAGACAAATAAAGATGTTTTTCCACATTTTCTTACAAAGTTTTCCATTTTTAGGTCCCTTGCGACACTTATGCCAAAAAAATTTTGTGATAAAATCGATACTTCTCTTCAACTTACGAACATGGCATAAGTGAGAAATACGTCGCTGTACACATTATTCTTTTGAAAAGGAAAATTGAATTTTCACAAAGGTGTCCCGCAGTCCATTTTTTAAATTTAGTTTATTGTACTTATCTCTCGGTTACCTGTCAATACTCTCAGAGGCATAAAAGAGAAAGACGTCGTCGAACTTCAGTCTAATATCTCCCGGTCTATAAGCATTTCGGGCTGCGAGTGACCTTTTTGGAGATATGTTTGTTATTTTTTAACCGTATTACCAGATACCAAATAAACAACAAAATCCTCACCTGACATATTTGCCGGTAGCACCACTGGCTTGCCCATCTCCCCCGCCATATCCTGCGGAGGTACCAGCACCCCCCCGAACTCCTCCTTCTTCTGGAACGGCGGCGGCGGAGGCGACTCCTGCCTGAACGGCAGCACCCTGGGGGGCGCGTTCCCTACGCCCAGCTCGTTGCCAGCCTGCTCCTTGACGCCGCCACCGTCCACCGGCACCGCCAACCTATTCGGCGAGCTGCTCTCGTCCGTGTACAACAGGAAGGCGATTGTGAACCACGCGGTGCCCACGATGACCACCAGTTTCAGCAGCAGCGACCGTTTGCGCCAAAGCAGACCCATCTTAACCGCACTACGCCCGGGAGATCCAAGACCACTACGCGAACTGACACGTATGCGCGGCACCAGTCGTACGGAGTATGTTCGCGACTCTTATCTATATTTTCGAATTAACATTTTGATAACACTTACTTTAGATAACGTTCGGGTACTACTAGCACAGCGGTCGGATCATTAGACGCGTCCTAGCATGGCCGGTATGACTTATTCGGTGGATGTTTGCTGCGAGGAGCGGGTGGAGGATTTCGGCCTTCCCTTCGATACTCTCATGCCTGGAACAAAATGTTTTATTAATATTGGAGAAACGTTTTCCTTCCTCATTACGTTCCGCGATGTGACAGGTCATTCGTGACAGCTGCAATCTGACTTTTATACGGAATTATTTAACCTACTTTTCTGCCAACGCTTATCTTGAAATCAGTACGTAGGCCAGGAAAAAGAGCTGGGAAATGACCATTTCGCGACTTTTTGTTTCGGCAAGCTGAATTTATCACTGTAGATGCTAAATATTATGTACAATAACATATTAGTTTCCACAGTCATAAAAATGGGGAGAAGATTGTTTACAGGGTGGTTAATTAGGTATATAATTTTTACGTTAATTCACGTTTTTCGCTTATAACTTTTTTCCCTTCATCTCCACGGGAAAATAGTAAAGTACTTTTTTCCCGTCTTTAAAAGACCTACAAAACTAGCCCTCGAGCGTCAAAAGATTTTGATTAGATCAAAAGTTATAAACAGAAGTTTATTTATGACTTTTGAATTAAACATTTATAAACTGCGTTAATATTACCAGAACGTTTTGGCATCGCATCCTCTCATTCCTTATCACTGTCTAATAACTCACACAAAATCCGGAATCGGTAAGTTGAATAGTTTACAAGTTATGGCCTTTTAAACAAATTAACTAATTATTAGTCTGGACGATCCGGAGCATCCACAATCGCACTGATTTTTTTCATGGTAGATTTCATAATAATACATTGAAATCTATCATTTTTTTTTAAATTTCCAAATTTGCAACCTGGAAAGTTCTTTTATTGTTTAGCCTTAGTTGCAAAATGAAATATACGACGCACGCGTGTGATATAGTTATATATTATTACATATTTGAAAAGCTTATGAAGAGCTTTAAGTTTAAAAAAAAATTGTTAAGATTCGTTAAAAAACAACGGAGTTACAGACTGTAAACATTGTTCTCCCCATTTTTATGACTGTGGAAACTAATATGTTATTGTACATAATATTTAGCATCTATAGTGATCAATTTAGCTTGCTGAAACAAAAAGTTGCGAAATGGTCATTTCCCAGATCTTTTTCCTGGCCTATGACATTAATTTCGGAGTTAAATATCATTTTGGATATACTTGCAGGAGTCGTAGGTGATTTACATCTGTAGTATACTAATTGCTTCTGTTCTTTGCATTGTAACCTGATGTTATATTGTTGTATGTATATTGAATTATGTTTTGTGTTGTATACTTAGCTATCTTTGTTATTTATAATTCTAGTGTAGTAATATTGTCCTGTAATTGGAGTAATTTGTTTGGCAATGAAAAAAAATAAATAAATGAATAAATAAATAAATCAACTATATGGTATGTAAGATAGTTAAAAATTGCGGCGTCTTGTTATTTCCAAAATGTGTTTATTCTTCTTTTTTGACTAAACCCCGTATTTAAGCATTTCTTGAGTTCTTGAACAACTTTGTTAAATATAATTTTTAAAGAAAACAAAAAATAAAGGCATTTTTACATTTTGAAATTTTTTGGTTGTCCTGTTTTATTACATATTAGATTACTGCCCATCGCTTCCAAAGACAAGCAAAACTTTTAATTTTCAGGATAATTAAAAATTTCTGATTTAAGTTTACTGCTTTCATTGTAAATAAAATCGATAAGAGAAAATTTCTAAATTTAATTATATGTGTGATACAACTAATTTAATTTTTATGACCAATAAAGTTAAAAATACACTGAACTATGTCAAGTGTTTTGAGTAAACGTTTTCTTAAAGTATTAAGAGACTATTTGATAAGTTAAGAATTAATTATAGGTACCTATATGTCTAGGTAACAATTATTACCATCTAATAAAAATATTTGCAGCAAATAAAACACATGCATGAGAAAGTGATTTAATTGACAAATACAATTATTTGGCAGTCACAAAAATCGGGGTTATAGGGACATTTTAAAATTTTTTTACGACAATTAAAAATATATTTCGAAATGTGATACTTTGGTAAAGTTATTTGACAATACACAATATTGAATCCAGAAAAGTGTAAAGAAGCAAAAAGTGCAGATAATACAATGGCGCATATGATGACCTATTTTATTTGTAATATTATACAGGGTGATATATTTTTTTTGGCAAATAATGATCGCTGATACCCACACCTCCGCCACTGGTAAGTTTCTAAAGCTGGTATTTTTTTGTTTCAAACCTACTGTTATCATAAATATGCACACCGAATTTGGTTAAGTTATCTCAAGCGGTTTAGAAATTAAAAAATAAAAATGATTTTATTTTAATTTTTGACATGCTGTAACTGGACAATGGCTGTCCTAAGACATCACATTTATATAACAAAATCCGCCCCTGGATTTTTGACCTCTACTTAAGAAACACTAATTTTATTTTATTCATTTCGATAAAATTAAAAATTATTAAAAAGATTAAAGATTACATTAAAACACAACATACTGTTCCACCCCATCGGCTGTGATTGGTGAAATTTCTCATGAGATTCTATTTAACTAATTAGCGATTGCATTATCTCGCAGCGCAGACGTAACGATTTGTCATTGTTCATCGTAAACGAATCATTAATATTGGTGAAGCCAAAATTTGCGGATTTTTCGTTACCAATACCAGTCGTGCAATGTTGGTTGCCTAAGCTAGGCGGTCACGTGGCTTGTAAACATTTTTGAAGGCTCTGCATTTTAATGTAGCATCTGAATATACTGCCTTTTAACGTACAGATTTGTTCAGAACATAACTATCGACAAAATAACGGTTATAAATTCTCTGGAAATAAATTCTTATGAACATAATTTTTTGCTTGTACTTCAAGACTACATAACACAAAAACTGTCATAAGTACCCTTAAAAGCTTCCAATATAACTTTTCGTTTACTAAACTATTAAGTGGAGTACAAATACAGGTACAAATATCGATGGTATTACCTCGTAGCAGCAGTTACAAATTATTGTTTTTAGGTTCACTGCTTCGTCAATGAAATGGTTAATTAATAGAAAATGGTATATATTTACTTGACCCCTTTTGACCCCGGAAATGGAAAGAGTGGAAAATTTTACGTACAGATATGACCTTGACCATTTCAAAAATTTCAAAATGGCGGCGAAATCAAGATGGCGGACGAAATTTTTGAGAGTTAACCGATTGTCACCAAATTTTGTATACGGAGGTTTTCGAGGTCGCTGATGACGAATCCGAGGTCGGATTTAAAAAATCAAGATGGCGGATCCAATATGGCGGACGAATTTTTCGAAAATCAACCGATTTGCACCAAACGTTGTATACTGGGGTTTTTGAGGTCGCTGAAACGAATTCGAGGTCAAATTTGCAGAATTAAAGATGGCGGACGAATTTTTTGAAAATAAGTCGATTTGCATCAAAGATGGTATATGGCCGTTTTTGGGGTTGCTGATCACGAATGTGGGGTCAGTGACCCCCAAAACCCCCGTATATCAAATTTGGTCCTCATTGATTAAATTTAAAAAACCCCATCCGCCATCTTTTATGCCACATTGTATATTTTCTGATTATTAATTAAAAAAATGTGGTAAATGGACATATTGCAATCACATGGATGAACGAAGGACCACTCTGTTGCATGTTACATTGATTACAATTAAAACATGGATCATCCTGTATATCCTACATTGAAGTTCTTAAGCTATAGTAGGATCATATTCGATGCAAAGTAGAGCAAAAAGTTGTCGATCTTTTATCAAAGGAAAATCGTGTCATCATTTTCAGGAGGTGTAAGATGAACCATTTCAAATTTAAAATGAAATTAAATGTAAAATCTGAAATAACGTTGCATACGCACTGTGTTCTGGTAGTAGCTGTGGTCGCCCAGGTGCATCGAGTGTACGAAGTGGTCGGTTATACATCAAATACTAACCTGGCGAGCTTGGTAGTAAATCAGATACCGCCTCCAAAAAACAAGTAAACAACAGTGGCGCGTACAGAGGTGAAATGTAGTACACATGTGAAATTTAAAAAACAAATTGAATTTATAATAAATTACATTTAAATAAATAGTTTATGAGAATAAAGGAATTTTTGTAGGAACAAGGGTGCCAGACGTGAACTGATCCCTTCGTCCCTTCATAATGTATAAAGAAATTATTCAATTTCTAAAACCCTTGAAAGCGTATTGCACTGGATCCCTTGACAGGCAACGATTTATTAATTTGCATCGAATATGATTCTACTATAGTTCTTAGAATCGCAACACCCATCGCACCAAACACGCGTAATAAAATACGTTACACCTTTATTTGTTTCCTATAAACGTTCATTTACTAATGCAAGGTAAGCCATCGTGGGCGTTTACAGTAATACCTTTTCAAACGATTCTAGACCGAACCGAGGAAGAGGTTCATTTCCTCCTAAGTCTCGCAGGTATTTCATTAAGAGTCGGAGCAAAATCGAATTCGACCCGGGGGCAACTGTAGTTAAATAAATGAGTGTAATAACTATTCATCCACGTCCGTGGTGCTAGTTTAACGAACCCTCCTATATTAATCGGTGTTTTCCTTTCTATTTGAACGGGCCACCTTATCTCCGGTCAATTTGTCAAATTAATGCGCCTATCTATTCAAAGGTGTTTGTCACGTGGTACTACAAGTGCGGCGTTTGCACGGCACACGCCGATTCATCATACTTAATTACCTACTTTATTAGTTTTCTCCTCCATCTGGACATATGCATCGTGAAGAAATTTGAATGTCCAAAAAAAATGAACCCAAACTGTTATCGTGACAGAAACGCGAAAGCTACCTATGTAGATATACAGGGTGGTCCATTTTTCATGGCTCACCATTGCATCCGGGAAACCGTAAGATATACAAGGTGGCTCAAATTAGGAAAAGGTTGCGCCTTTTCAGGGTCATTAAAATAAACCAAACAGACCAAAGATATTTGCTGCCGTTCCTGAAATATTGTGAAAAATCTGAAAATAGCTACGAGTATAGTGGTTTAGTCTTCAAGTAAGGAGAAAAAAGTAGCGTGGAAA